CATTTATCATCTTCTTCTCTAACTAACCTCATGCCTTCACTTTTACTATTCTTTATTCTGATACCTACTGTGATTTTCAGGACAGGGGACAAACTTGCTTGCCCTCTCCCTTCTGGCTTTGTTCATGTTGGCTTTAACTGCCTTCCTTTTCACACAGCCTCTTCACTGTGTTCCAGCAGTGGTTCAACAGAGTTGCAGAATTCTTTTATTTCACATTACAAAAATATATATTTCACTTATCTGACAGATTTTTCTTGTTGGACTTCTTTATTCTCTGCTCTGGTGTTTGTTTGCATATAAATGAAATTGTGTAGCAGGCACCTATAAAGCACCTGTAAAATGATCCTGGGTCAGAATGAGAGTCTTACTTGCCTCTAGCATCCAGATATGTGGGCAATACAAAATCTCCCTCTGAGACAGAATCCTTATCTAACAAATTTGCAATAGACTGAGAAAACATAGGGCTAGATTTTTTCCCACAAATTGTTTAGATAAAATGGACACAGTTTTAGGTTTCTGTAGCTAGGATGGAATGCATAGGCTTAAGAAGACTTTCATGAGGACTATTCATGTATTTATTTTTAGCATACATAGCACCATGACTGATTTCCATATCTTCTGTCTCTTTCCATGCTCTTTTGCATGCTAGTTAGTAAATCAACTGTTGTAACAAAATATGATATTCTGCATCAGTTAGGTGAAATATCATGGTCCTAGTCACAAATAACATCAGAACTAAAACTCACAGTAGTAGTGGCTGGGGAAAGGAGTAAATCTGCATGCTAACCAGGTGAATACTCTGCTGCTGTAGCAAACTTTCTTTATACATATATATCTTTAGAATGCCAACAGTGTCTGTGTTTTAACAAGTACTGGATTTATTATGATTTTTCAATACTTGATATGTGAAAAGGAAACTTAAAATACTGCATCCCACTTGATCCGATTCTGATTTTGGCTGGAATCCTTCAAAGCAATTGGACTGTTGTGCCAGCCAGCAGAATAAAACGAAGTCTTACTCAGCAGATGAAAAATTTCTACATGATTCACACCCAAGCCTAAGTAGAAAAATAAATGCTGATGCAGCATTCATGGATAGGCTCATGGAGGCATCTCTCCTAGAACTACAGCCAAAGCCAAACTAGCCAGTTTGGCACCACGTCCTTCCTTGGGAGCTTATGGAATGCAAACGCGAGGCAGGACCGCATGGCAATGTTTCCTGCCTGCTCTAGATGTCACTCTCCCCTCGCCGGAGCGCGGGGCTGCAGCGCCCAGGACCCACGTAGGTGCTGCACACATCACAGCAGCATTCCCATCTTGCCAATACAAGGGGAGCTCGCAGGGCCTCCCAAACAGTGGTGGTTTGAGGATGTCTTCTTGGTAAGGAAGTGTGAGGTTTGGTCCAGCTGTGGTTAGTTGGAAACCAGGCAGTAGGATTTTTTGCATTCTTTACTATCAAACCCATGATGGTATTTGATCTCCCAATCTCTTTTACCTCCACTGTTCAAAATGTGCCACTTTTCTGCACTTGTGAAGCTAGCAAGCATCCAGAAACAAGCCACAGGAATAAGCCTTATTTCCAAGTGCCTTAATCAAGACACAAGCATCGGATTATGTGTCACACAGAAATCATGTTGGGCATTATATAAGTTTGATGATGAAAACGCTGCATAATCTGCTGAGAAAACTGCTCCTCACATAAATTGCTGAATAAGAGCCTCTTCAGAGGGATGAATAGCAAAAAATGTACATAGACTTGGCTCTAATATTCAGAAGCAAGACACACTTTCAGAGGCTGGGCAAACTCCCAGAATCATTTTGATGACCTACACTTGTTGAATAACAACTCTTCTGCCTCTGTACCAGCCAATACTAAAAATGGAAAGGCTGGGAGGGTCTGGTGCTGATGTGGTGCTTTGTAGATACACAGCTCTGTTGTATCTTGCTTTTAGATGTGCTCCCCAAAGCAGTCTGTAGTGTGCTGAGAGGGGAGAGCTACAGGCAGACATCGTGAGGCTTTTCTGTCCCGTCCTCCAGAGATGCTGTCACCAATTCCCCATCTGATGGCTAGGAACAGCAGTTGGAGCACTGGTGTGGCCCATAGTCCTCTGATTTCTCTTTAAAGAGATACAACCTTCTCAGTCTAGATCATAATAGTAACTTTATTTTATGACTAGGGATCACATTTAAGAAATAGAGGATTCAAATATCTAGAAAATGACTCTCAGGGACAAGTGTCAATTCATCAGGTCAAAGAAACCACAATGATAAATTTGGCAAGAACTCTCCATCCAGCTAACATGCCCCAGGCGCTTCCTTCCCTGGGCAGAGAACAAAACCAGGGTAGCAAATGCTATTGAATGGGGTGTACCCAAGCTAAGGCTATGGTCAGGAGGGGACTTTCAGGCTTTTTCCCAATTTATACCATCCGAAAGAGGACCGTGGGCAGTTTGTTTTATTGTGGACTGCTCGCAGTATGGAGACATGTGCTATAGAGTCCACTGCTTCCATATGTAAGAATATGTAGGGCAAAGTTGTTGCTGGGAAAGAAGTGGAATGAGATTCAAACTGTCCACATGGCTCGGCATCAGATGATGTCTGAGATAAAATATGTTGCTGTATTATCATCTACAATTTTTTTCTTCCAATATTCTTGTGTTTCAAAATGGATGTAAAAATGTAGTAAATATATAATAAGAAAAATATATAATAGCTGCTTGCTTCAGAGGAAGAGAAGATAGTGGATTATCTAAAATTCTTTTCCTCACATCCCCTGACCCTCAGATCATGAAGCACAAAATAAACACAAAACACTATTTCTTAGAAATGAGTTTCAGATATTAAAGTACAGCTGTGGTAAAGGCAAAAAAAAAAAAAGTTGAAAAGGATGTTACCACAAGAGCTTTCAGTTTTTAATTTTTTTTTGCAAACAGCTCTTTGTGTTCTTTTATAGTAGAAACCAAAGTGCTTGGTTGCTTTAACTTCCTTTTCTTTAGTAATAAGCTGAAATGTCTGGCTTGTTCGATCAAACATCAGGTTTTGCTTCCTCTCTGTATTTCAGGTCTCCATTTTGACATATCTGACTCAGAACATCTCCCAAAAGGATGAAAATTGCTTTAGAAGAACTAAAGGCTCCTATTTGTGCTGGTGAAAATTAAGATCCTAGATCAGTAAATTTTACTTTCTGTGACTGAGAAATGCAAATAGTTATTTCCTGGTCCTCACCTACCAATTACCTCACTAAGTTTCTTCATCCCAGTCCCTCTTAACTATTATGCATGTTATGTTATGTATATTATGCATGTTATGCATGTCAGGTATTATAAAATATACATAACACTTATATTTGTGCGCTGTGTTTTTAGGAACTTGGGCAGGGAGACCAACTATGAAAGTGTATTTACTTGCCTCCTCCATTCCTTATTTTTGTAGCTGCAGCGGTATACAGAATACAGAATATTCAAGGTTGGAAGGGACCTCTAGAGATCATCTAGTCCAACCTTCTTGCTCAAGCAGGGACACCCAGACCATGTGGCACAGGGCGGCATTCAGGCGGGTTTGGAAGATCTCCAGAGAAGGAGACTCCACAGCCTCCCTGGGCAGCCTGTGCCAGGGCTCTGGCACCCTCACAGTAAAGAAGTTCCTCCTCACCTGGAGACGGAATCTCCTGTGTTTCAGCTTATGGCCATTACCCCTTGTCCTGTCGCTGGCCACCAATGAAAAGAGCTTGTCCCCTTCTTCCCTACATTCTCCCTTCTTGAACTTATACATGTATACATGTATCACTACGTTTTATGACAGATCTTCCTTTCAGCACCTTTTACATGTAGAAGCCCAGAACCCTGCCTCTTAGCTCTGTCTGTGCCTCCCAAAACCATTGATAAAATCTCTGTCTTTGAAATCCCACTGTTGAAGCTGAATCAGATCTACTGCTGAACGCTGAAAACCCTCAAAGAGCACGTTCCGCTTGGGCTCCTTTTCAGTCTGATTTTCCCTTCATATTTGCATTGTGCCTGTTCTTTCACTTATCTTCTGTGCAGGGCTGGGAGAGTTCACTTACACTGCTGCATGCTACGCTAGTTCTTCAGAGCACTGATGCTTTATGAAAGCTGCCTGCAGCCATCAGGCAAGAAATTATATAGGTTTCTAACAGAGGAGAGACAGATGTCAGTGTGCATTCTCCTGTGGGAAGAATAACTAGTTTTATAAAGGGAACACTGGCCCAGTTCTTTAAAGGCAGAATGAGTGATTTTTGGCAATATTTGGTGCCTAAGTATTTCTTGAGCTGAGCACAAGTATCGATTTCTTTATTAATCACTTCTTTATCACAAAGTCTATAGGCTGTGGACTGTTCTATTCCCCTACCATTATGGGAAGCTGTGCTTCAGAAAGAAAATGATCTGAATAGGAAAATGGAAGCACTGTACAGGGATGACAAACACATTCAATTTGTGTAAATCTTGCTCCTTCTATGTTTCCCAAGGACTGAAATGTCTGATCTAGGAAAATCTGGGAATGACAAAATGTTTCTAAACTGTGGGTAGCTATAAACTCACTGGTCCTTTCCATTTTATTTTTTTTTCCCTTTTCCAAGGTGGACAGAACTATTCATTATCCCATTTCCATGCTTCTGGGAAACTGTTTGAACAGGAAAGAGAAAAAAGGCTTATCAGGCTCCCTGGCACTGTGGAACAACTTTGCTGGAGAAACGTAGTCAGCCTTTGGGTCCCCTCATCTGTATCTTCAGGGCAAAAAAGAAGCAGAAATCAAAGAAACTGAGAAATAAAATATTTGGGTAACTGCTGCAAAGGAAAAGAAGCAAATTCACAACAAGAATTCCAGTTATTCTGAACTCAAAGCCCCATATGAAAATAGGGAAATACCAATAAGATAAAGAGACTGAAACACCAAATCTGTTTGTTGACAGAAGAGCCACATCTCAAGTCACACAGCACAAGCACAGCAGAATAAATCCTGAGCATGCTGGGACACCATCCTACCTTTCCTGGAGCCCTACAGGTTTCATTCTGAAAGGAGACGGACTGGCAGGCAGAGGAGGTTTGAGCTCAGGAACGCATTGGCCTTGAGGGTCGACTACCACATTTACAACTTTGGGAGCCTGTTCAGGCTGGACCATGCTGTTGGTGGTCTTGTATTCAGACTGAGCTGTCTGGAGGGGAAGGGGTGAGAGGTGGATCTCCTGCTTCTTTTCCTTCTCTTGTCTCAGGGATAACTGGATCTTCTCCTTCAGTCTGTACAAAACCTACAGAAACAGAGAAGCAAGTCCATTCATTTTAATCCCAATTTCCTTGTAAACAAGGTAAGGAAAGCATCACAAATGCCAGGCGAGATCGCGATGCATGGTTTTCATTTCTAGAAGGTAATCCACAAGTTGTGTTACATGGCGCTTCCTGCAGCAGGATAAATATTTCCATTATAAAACCACAGCGCGTATGTGTGGGTGAGAGGGATTTTAATAATTCTCATTGTGAGCCAGGAATTATTTGCAATACCAGCAGCTGTATTATTAAAGACATAAAAAAACATGGAACAGGAGATAATGAACAAAAATCACCACAAAGAAAGAAATCTTAATAAAATAATTATAGAAAAAAATCAAAATTTTAACATGAGACAACAGCACAACATCAGATAGATGCTTGTGATATAGCTGTCTAATGATAACAGCTTCAATTTCTTTTATTGTATATGTTCTTTAAAAGTATTAGTAATTGCTTATGGAGCTAATACTTGAAGAGAATAACTACTATTTCTGTAATGGTAACCTGCTACTACTGTGTAATATCCCTAAAGTCTTTTTTTACCAAAAAACTGATAACATCCTTAAATAAACAAACACTCTTCCATAATAAAGCTGAACTTACATATAGCCTGTATAGCTATTTAAGGATCTGTGGCCATTGCAAGAAGTCTGTTTGGCAGTTACCCAAACAAAGATACCTAAAAACATGATTATATCAGGATTTTCAGCCCAGCTCCTATTATATGAACCTGATTATCTGCAGCAAGACCTTGAAGTCACACAGACAGATCCTACAATGAGCCCTGCTGCAAATCAGAGGTTCTTTGGTGGCCGTGGCCCTCTCAGCACTGGGTAAATGAACTTCATACCTCTCCCCTGAAGGCTGCGTGTGCCTGATGCGTTTGTTTTGTCAAGGATTAGTATTAGAGGTTTAGCTGGGACTTGACATAATGCCATTAGCAGTACACCCATTAAACAAGACTTAGCTGCATAAACCATCTGTTCATTCTGAAGAATTCTGAATTAAATTGTATGAATAAGATAAGCTGTTCTGGGCCATTACTTTGCAGAAAACCAAACAGGTATCAGTAAACAGAAAATAAGGCCTGGAAATATTTTAACCCTGTTTTCTCCCCAATGACAGGCTGGTCTCACTTGTTTCTGATAACCCCCAGACACAGAGCTCAGATATTCAGCTATAATAATGTATATTGGGGCAGAGTTTCTTCCTGTGGAGACCCAGGAGATTATGATTTTATGTTCTAAAAAAATGGGGACTAGTGTATTTCCTATCCTTTTTAATGCTCTACTATTAGAGCCTAGGAAAAAAAAGATAGCCAGTATCAAGTGGAAATAGAAAAGCGTTAAAGCAGCACATTTGATTTAAGAGCCAGAAACATTTCCTCAGAGAGGCTGGGGCAGTCTGTTTTTAAAGGAATTAAGGAAAAACAAACAGGAAACGGCCAAAAACACAGTGGCCAAGCCAGGCTACAAGTAACAGTAACTAGCCATTAAGAAGTCATATTTCAAATGATTACTGTTCATCTGCAGAGAAGAACAGTGGCCCCACTAAGGTCTCTGGGATGAAGAGATCGTGAAACAGTCACAGGGAGCAGCTGTGCTAGGGAACTTCTCTGCCTCTCAATATTTAGGGCATCTGGGACTATATAAGAAAATCTCACAGAAACTAAAGGCAAAAAATACTGTTCATGCTAATGAAAAGAAAGTTCTCCCTTGGCAAGCACTTTGTGACATGTGTCCGTGCGCTTGTCTCTGTAGGAGCAGTGCTGTAGTGTGTATGTGTATGCACATGGGAAGAAACCAACCAGCAAAATTTCCCTCAAACCCCGGGGAAAGGATGAAAGAACAAAAATGTGACAGATGTTGGTCACGTTGTTTAACGTGTTACTGGGAGGCATTTGGATACCCTGATGCTGCATGCCCTATAAAAAGTTCTGCAGAAGCAGAACAGAAGAATCCTGACAATGTAGGACTCGTTTATATACAAAAAATGCATTCTGATTTTAACTCTTACTTTTCCTTATTTCAGTTCAAACAACTTAAAAACTCTCCCAAGATGATTACATGATTAAATTATGTATCTTTGATTTTACACTAATTCTTTAAATTGGTAAAGTTGAAGTTGGTGGGCTGTTAACATATCAGTTGCACATATTCTATAATCAAAGTGCTTTCAGAAATCCTGCACCATTTTATGAATCCTAAAAACCTGTAAATTTACAAACAAATGATAAGTCATGTGAGAAACAGTAGGCTGAAATGCTTTACTGTTATTCAATATTCTTCTTGCTAAAGAAATTCCAAAATACATTGATCATAATTTATAAGACATTAGAACCATTAATAAAAAAATGCATCTCTCAAAATGTGTTGACCTAAAAAGCTCCTATTTTTCATTTTCAATGAAAAAAACCTATTTTTTGAAAATTAAAATTTTCAGTGGGCAAAATTTAGACATGTAAAACATTTAGAAAAGCCTCTCATTACAACCAGACTGAGTTGAGTTATAATATGTAACAGGTAATTCCAGACTACTCACAAGGTAGCTACGCATACCAGAATATGTACAACAGGATATGCAAACATATCAAAACAGGCTAAATTAATGAGAAATGTAAATAGTAAATAATTTAATCCACCATCAAATTTAGTTTTAGGTATTAAATTTCCAACTCCATCTCTATAAAACAAAAAAGTGCAGAGACTTACTGTTCACATGGGAGCATTTAAAATAATTACTCTTAATTAGCACCTTTCTTGGCATATGTTATAAATGATGTATGACATTCCCAGTGGAAGCGAGGGCCTGGTCAGGAGTGCTGACAGGGATAGCAATGGGCTGCCTGTTGACCTCTGCTTATGATGCAGCCCCCCGGGACGCCAGAGGTTCATATATCCTGACAGCAAAGGCCAGATGAGTAAATAGGCAGCACAGCTCCAGAGGTGCCATTTACAGGCCTGAATTTAGCTCATGGGCTGCTGTAACTCAAGCCACAACAATATCCTGCACTGGAGATTTTTTGATGTAATAAAGGCCAGGTATTAGCTTTCCTAGTACTTTTACGAGTTATTAAATTCCAGGCGAATATTAAGAAAGCTAATGGCTGTTAATGCAGTGCTCTCTCAGTTGAAAAACTGTGCAGGGAAGCATCATCATCTTTCAAACCCAGTTAAAAGAAAAGGCTTTATATTTTACAATTTCTGTAATAATTTCATAAAGCAAAGAACTAACACCAACAATTCAGCTGGCTGACACTAACCACTGTGGATCATCATTATAATACTAGTTATCTTCTATTTCTTAATGTAAGGGACACTACCTTAGTATCCAGTAGGATGACCTACTGCTATTGGAACCTTAATTAATGATCTCACATGGTCACTAAAGAAACCAGAGCTACTTCAGATCAAGTTGAATACTTTGCCCTAAATCGTAACCATGTGACAGACTGGGACCTCTAAATGCTGAATTCCTATTTTCCACAAAACTGCCATTCTGTCACATGTAAAGTGAGATTAAAAACAATGTGAATGGTTTGCTAGGCTTATAGATGGCGCAAACTCCATGTATCAGCAGGTCCAAGCAAAATCTGAGACAGTTTCACTTTGGCATGGTCTAAACTTAGTGGCAGTGTGTCTAGGAAAGATGTGTAGTGCACCAGTGAGGGGACAGAAAGGCGGATGCCGGCAGAAAAGATCACAGCGTATGTATCTGTAAGGGGGGTTCAAGACGTCTGCTAGTCCTTCCCTCTGCCCGACCTCTGAAATCAGCTCTCCCCAAGCTATTCCTGACACATGCCCATCTAAAACCTCAGCTGATGACCACTCAAGAGCTGCCCCAGGCAACGCACTCCAGCGCGCAGTGACTCCATTTGACTGAATCTCCCCTTCAACTGTATTATTTCCCAGTGGACAGAGCACTGCCTTCCCCCCTATCTCAGCCTTTGAAAACTTTCCATATTTGAGAACATGTTTCTCCTTGGTCTTCTTTCCTCTGTAATAAATAAACCAAATTCTTCTGTTTCTTCTGTATCTTTGACCATTCTTCCATTCTCCTCCCTGCTGGCTCACATCACTTCAGAAGTGTGGTATCCAAATAAACCCACACAGCAAGATACAATGCTATAAACCACATTATTACCAGAGCCAGGTGATGTGGACTTAAAGATCCTATCCTCACTTACACATCCCAGGACAAGGACTCTCATTTTTGCAGCGCTGTGGTGTTACTGATTGACCTGAGTGTGTGCCTTGCCGTACTGCAAGACCTTTCCCATGGGACCACTGCTTCCCCACGTACTTCCTACATTTTATTTGTGCACCTGATTAGAGCTCTTGTCCCTCCTGAGCAGCATTCACTTTCCCTCACATCTTTCTTTACTATACCAAGATAATTTAAAATTCTGATCCTGTTCTCTGTGAGGGTTAAAGCTCCCAGTACCATCATATTCCAAGAAGTCCATAAAAATATTGTGTGGCACTAGGATGAAATCAGACGCTGCTTCCTATGTTTCAGCTTAACAGTCAGTAATAACTTGTGTTCTGTTTTCCTGAAACAAAAAAGTTTTACTTTCAGAGTTGCTCTGCTATCATGGAAAGAGATGGCATGGAGAAATGGAGTTGAGTAGGAGGTAGAAGTTACATAAAAGAACAATTTACGTGAGAAAATAAATGCTTTTAAAATCATAAGAAGACTTTACAAGTTTAAACAAGATTTTGTTATAGATGTGATTATTTACAAAAATCTTCACTTTAAAGGCTGTTTTAAGATCATAAATGGGAAAATCATCTTGGTTACAGAAAACTAAAGGTGTTTGAAAGCAAAATATCTTAAAAGATCCCATGAGACTATGAGTCCAGAAGTGCTGAGAATTATCACAGAATTCAGCAAACTCTTAAATTTATGCACCACAGCAGAAAAATACAATTCAGAGAAGATTCTATCTGAGACACAACATAAGGAAAATGCAAAAATTCATTCAGTGGTGGTAGAGGCTTAGTCAAGCCCTACATGTCCTTGCACAGTTCACTTTCAGAGCATTACACATACGACTAATGCCTAGAAAACTGGCTGCTGAAGTCACATGATGTGAATGTCAATGAATGTCATGGTCACTCTGTGACTTATTACTCATTTCAGCTTAAAATTCATATTTTCAATATATGAATACTGACTTTCTGTGTCTCTTCTTCTCTCTCTCAAAATATATAACCACTGTGCACTGACAATATTGTGGCATTGTTTTTATTATCCCATAAAACTGAAGTAGTGTAGGCTGAAGTGATTTCAGGGATCCCGGGACCTTAATAAAAGGTTGAGAAGTCATAAGTCAAGTCACCACAGAGTTATTTTGCAGAGTTAAGTGGCCATTATTTATTCGTACAGCTTCCTTCTAGTTACCCTTTTCTGTTAGACTCAAAATGGAAAAAGTAGTATATTTCTATTACTCATCAAGCTTTGGATTCACAGCATTGTGAGAATGACCAATTGTTCCCTTGCAGCTGAGCTTTTGACAGCTTTGTAGAAATACTTTTCTTATAAAGAATGTATGACTCTATCCTTCAGACAGAGAGAAGCACTAAGAACAAGAAAACAGGTAAAAAGCATACTTACCATTAAACAAGTTACGAGAATGACAAAGATGCTGAGAAATATGACAACTGCATAAAATCCTTCTTTGCTCCAGAGTTTGTCTGCTTCACGCTGGCCTTGCAAAACATTTTTCTTTATTAAGCAATAAAAAAGGAGAGAAGGAAAGAAGAAAAGTTACACAGTAGTGTGCGCAGATGAAGCAGCTCTTGTCAGGCATTAATCATCTTCCTTAGCTTCATTGCAGTTCACATTGCAAAGTATACAACATTTATGGTGAATGCTGCCATTCCCACACCTACCTTAGCTAATGAGCACGCTGGCTGCACCGTATACGTGTGACATCAGAATCCTAACACTAGGGAAGATGATCCCAGATCTTCTTGGTGACTGCTGAAATGATCTTCCTACACAAGCAATGGGCTGGTTTAAGGTAAGCAAACAAGACTCACGTTCTTTCTTGGAAACTACCTGGCTCATCAGGCAATAGGGCATTGCTCTTGCGTGGGCTGGGGAAACTGCTCACACTGTCTTTTTCTCTGTGCTGCTTATCTGCTGCCCCACCACCCACACGTAGCCTCTGAACTGTTTACACTTCACTCAGACGTGAGAACAGGTGATTTGCCAGTTGCCTTCACAAGCCAAGAAGCTCTGGCCCTGTAACCTTTAGAATATGTACATGAATATATATATATAAAGATAAAAAAACCCTGATTTGCTGAAAATAATCTCATTATTCATATATCTGCAATTCTGAACGTGCTTTATCTTCTTCAGGTTTCTGCTGTTACTACATTCCTAAAGAGCTCTGCATACTAAAATTTGCAGAACACATAGAGAATATGAAATAATAAGAAGTTTTAAAGTATTTTTTTGGCCTTATTGCAGTGCGGGGACTTGCTTGAGCTATGAAATTACAAGGATTTCACTATATTTCCAAATAGAAATATGATAATAGAAACAAAGCAGATGTATTCTTATTCTAACTGCTTTACAGTTTTTAGGATAAAATATATATTCTTGCAACTAAAGGATTCCAAGACAGAAATTCAGTCTTTTTTTAATTGTGTATTTCTAGTACAGTTGTCAGAGTGAGCAAAACAACTTCCTTAAATTCCAATTTCTACTGTAAATGTTCAAGGTCTCAGTGCTTCTCTTTCATAAGAAACTTCCTAGGGAATTGAAGCCTGGCAACTTCAATTAAACTTATATTTTAATTGAGTGAGTTGTCTTCTCTAGGAATTCATCTCAAGACAGCTAGTGTGAATTACGAATGTGCTCTTTTTTCTTCTCTGGGGATATTGCATAGGAACCCTTGGAGTCACCCAATCTCCACAGAGGAATGAGTCTCTCCAAGTTAAGTAGCTCTCTGCACCTGGGCCACTGCAGAGACCCTCCAGTACTTAACTGTACTTAACGTGTATGGTTCCTCCTCAGAAGGCTGCTTTGCCACCGATTAACTTGTTCTTTTGAGCTGTCAATGTATCAAGCAAATTCCTTGTGCCCACGAACACCCCAAACATACCTGATATAATTGAATTTGTGCATTAAGGACTTTCAAGGAGCAGCATGGCTTGGGAAATGGAGTAAAGGCTGACAAAAATGCACTGCCTGCTGTGGCACTGGCTTACTCTGTGCTTCTTTTAAAAAAGGGCAGTACAATGTTGATTATATTTTTGTGCAGTTTACAGATCACACTGCCACAAAATACAAACACATAGAGAAGTACTTGATAGCATGGTTAATTTATAAACCTGCTTGTTAAAAAAACCTACAAACATACATATAATTAAAGGTTGGCTGCACTAGAACCAAAAGCATCTATAAATAAGAGTGTTTTGGAAGCCACAGTACCAGGGACCAGAATGGAAATGCTTTACTCCCTGCTGCTGAACCACAGAAACTGACCTTGTGAAAATAGGGTGACTATTTGAGTGCACAGTGTTCACAATCTGGGCATAAAACCGCAAAGTATCCATAGCTTGACAAGGATTATAAAGTCCTCTCTGTAGCGGGCAACTTTAAAAAAAAAGGGCTTTCAGTTATTACGGAAATCTTGCCATACAAGACTGTGTTCACAGCACATACATTGTGTTCACGGGAAAGGACTCGGGTCCTAACATTGCCACCAGGCCCAGCACTGCAGCTGTGGGGCACTCAGGGCTCTTGCTGGAGGTCATGGGAGCAGCAACTGCAGCCCTGGCCCATTAGCTCTAAGCCAACTGGTTGGCCCTGGGCTGGTTTCATGATGGCTCTCCAGTGTTTCAGATCTCTTAGGAGGAAATTTGGATAAAAAAACAAGAGTTGAAGGAGAATTGGCTGTGCTGACCATTTGCGATTATTTTTTTTTAATTCTTCACTGAAAGAACAAACACACCAGAAGATAAATGAAGAGCGAATAGGACTTTTTACACAACGAGTGAGAGACGGTTAATTAGCTGCACTTCACTGATGTCACAAAGACTTTGTATTTTACACACAACTATATGCTTTATGCACCCAATTGGGCCCAAAAGAAATAATCTCTATGATATACTTCTGTTCAGGGCATATTTACCCTGATTTGTCATTCTAAAAATCAATTTCAATGAATATTAACCAGTAATCTAGAAAAAAAAAGTGTATCTCTAACATATCTGACATACAATTCTGAAATACTGAAGTAGCACCTTTACTTAACTAATGAAATCTCTCCCTGTGGTCTAACTGAATAGCATTCAGCATAGCAAAAGCCTTGCTTGCTCTCTAATGATTGAAGGGTCTGTGACCTACAGTAGTTGAGTCACTTCATTTCCGTGATAAGAAACTGCCATCTGAAATGTTACAGCTACTAATTCAGAACTTTGTTCCTAAGTCTGAGAGACTTGATAAGATGGAAAACAGCTGCTATGCTCATTCAAAACGGCTAACGCCCTAGAAACATAAGCAGGACAGCCCAAATGCTAAAGAAAAAGCAAATGGGAGAGGGAGCTTCTGCCCACAATGACAGGCTCCGAGCTTCCAGCATGGCAATGTGTTCTGTCTAAATTGATTTATGTTACTTCTTATTTCTCTCACACAGATAGGAAATTTTTACTGCCTGAGAACCAAGCAAGGCTTAGAGATAGATTTTGAGGAGCGTGAATGTGCCAAGCAAACAGAGCAGACGAATAAACTAAAGCTGAGCTGCAAAAAGCCACAGCTGGTGAAGGCAGGAGGGAACAGGGCAGCAGGAGCGCTGACCAGGGAGATCTTGTAGCGCCGGCAATTTCAGCCTCAGGAGGAAGGCTCAGCACTGCCATACACCAACCCCCAGTGTCTGAGTCCATCCTCTAAGAAGTCTTCACAATCAGATGAGTCATTTAGGCAGAATTATTTAAGGAGTTTCAATTCAGTGTTTAAACTGTGGAAGAATCAATGCATTTAAATAATCATATGCTATTGCGAACCTTATTTAAGACTGCCTACATAAGTGTCTGTTTCACTAAACTAAACTGGAATGTGTGTAGAAAAATGATTTTTTTGTAAACATTTTTCTTTCAAAAACAGACATTAAGGATACACACTGGGCCCTCTGGTCTTATGATGCAAACCTAATGCACTATTTCTACATGCAAGTAAAATGAGCAGCCAGCTCTTGATAATAACAAGGGAGACCTTGACCTGAAGCAGTCACTGTAAAACCTGAGACTGGCAGATGCTGCCAAGATACGAGGAGCTGCCAGGAGGGGGAAGTCTTCACTGGAAGAAAGGTGAGTTTCTAAGTTGGGTTAGTTAACCCCAATTAGATCCTCAGACTGAAACGACAATGAAAGCAAGGCAATTTATGAGGCCAGATGAAAACTCACAGAGAGCTGGGCGCTGAACTTGCTCATACTGAGTTATCCAAGTTCATACTGGAGAGTTTTGTCTTTTCTGCTATTTTAACTATTCTAAGTAAGGCATATTAGGAAAGTTTTCCAAGTTAATTCATTCTCCCCATCAGGGCAAACATGGAGAAGAACTGGTGACCTCTCCAGTTTCTAGGACACTGGGGAAAAGCCACTTCCTGTCTTCCATGTCGAAGCCTCCTGAAAGACCCTATTGCCAAAGTCACTTTGTTTCACAAGAGTTCTTGCCGTCCACACCAGTATTCAGCCTAGCTTGTGTGTGTGATAGAACACTGTGAGTTCGTGTTGTGCTGGAGGCTGAGAGGCCTGCAGGGGAGCCAGGCTCCTCATCACGGGGCCAACCTGCTTACGTGAGCAGTGAGGTGACTCCTGACTGCTGTTGCTGTGTCCTTGCTCTCCCCGGGCCCCTGTGAGGCTCCCTCTGCCATCACAGAAACACATCCCCGTTCTCTGCTTTGCCTCTTTGCAGGCTGCTGTGATTTCTAAGGAATGGGTTTTGATCACTAATCCTTGCACTGACTCTAGCGTTGAAGTGAACGATTAGTTCCTTTGATTCTGTCGCTGACAGAAGTTAGTACCTTGCGCTTCAAAGCCACACTGTAAAAGCTTTGTGTTAAGGAGGGTGCAATTGCACATTTTGGGATTGCTTTCTTTGGAATAAACTATCAAATGGGAAATTCTCCTTCACACAACATCCCCAGCTCGCACTTAGCTTGCTTCACAAAAGGTGGTAACCCTTTATTTTACTTACGATAACTCCAGCTATTTTTGTTATCCAAAGCCACTTCAAGTCTGGTTCTATTCTGCTCATCTCTAAAACCAATGGTATTTTCTTTTTTACTCTGAGAACAGTTTTAAGGCTTTAGGAAATCAAATTTACCCATACCATAGTAAAATGGATTTCCTTGGTCATTGAATTTAATACCATATACAAACAAGCAATAGCTCAGTAGCTTTTTGTTCTAAGAATGTCAGCATTGCCATACACCACAGATGAGAACACAATGCTAAATTCCACTTTAAACACAGTCTTTAGACCATAATAAAAAAGCAGATGCTACAACAACAGGAGGACATGGGAAAGGAATGGACCTATGGAAGGGATTGCCATTGCCCTGCATCCCTGAAGTGCCAGAGACTCCATTAATTTAAACTTCCACATTCCTGTCCTTACACATCCCATTCTGCAGCAGGCAGCAAAGAGCTCTAGTGCTCCTTACAGAAGAGGCATATAGGAAATCTGCTTTCCCAGCTACTGCATAATAAGAAATTAGGATATGAATTTTGAGACAGAAAATTTAACTGAACCAATAGATGGAAACTGGCAAATTATTACTGGAATGAATGGAAATATATTTCCAGTCACCTACATCCACTGGGAGTTTTGCTATTTAAGACACCATATGTTGAAACTTCAGGGAGACAGCTTTGTTCTTGCACCCAAATTTTCCTGTAAAATCTTGGGAAAATTTCTTGAGATAAGGACAATCTCCTTCACAATTAACTCTCTACAATTGAATGTCTAGCTTAAGCTAGAAAGAGTCAACCAAGCAATCTCAGAAGAGGTATCTGAGAGACTGAATCAATTGCCCACTGAACGTGTCTCTTACCCTCTGTTTACAGAGAAAATTGTCTTTTAATTTTTAGGTATATATTATATATATTATATATACACTATATATATATACACACACTATATATATATATATTTGAAATAAACAGTTAAAATATAAGATGAACTCTTAACATCTCTGTCAGTCACTCACCTATAAAGACAAGGATAATAATTATTTTCGGCACAGAGTGTTAGCATATGTACAATCCTGATTGTGAAGCTTTTGGCCATTGTAATGGAAGACTGCACAGATCTATTAGCTAAAGAATTAATTAGAATTAGTAGCTAAGAAATGCACAAAACTGGTAAAATTATATGTTAAAGCTATGCCTTTCTGTGGCTGTAATTATATCTCTTTTCAAAGATTTATGTCTTGACGTTTGCCATTACTTTGCTCAGCATGATTTGTTCTTTGGGCAAGTTGGGTGAAGAGTAAATAATTGGTAGCAAGTAAAGGTTATATGTAGCTGTATGCAACATATATGCAAGCTTACTCAGGCAAACAGTTTATCATGATCCAAAGGGAAGATGTATTAGCGTGAAGTTGCATAATTTTTGCAGAATCAGGGTCTCAGCTTTATAAAGTACTAGCAATTGAAATAAAGACTTTATATTCAAATAATCGTTTTTTTCTCCAACAGTGCTAGCTAGTATCAGTATACAAAACTTTTATTCAACGTGTCATCTTTTTCTAAATGATTCATTTTAAAGGTTGCTGACGAGAGATATAAAGACCTGAATTGACATCTGGGCAGAACCGCTCAGCTTCATTTTCTATCAAAACTGCTAAAAAGCTGAGAACTTCCTCATTGTGATAGAAGCAGTCTGCTGTAGGGCATGGAGAAGTGTATTAAAGAGATCTTGCTTTTTATTGCATTTTTCATACTGAAGACAGATTCTTAAACAGAGTTAGAATACTTAAAATGAGCAATGAACTTCCAGTGCATAGAAGTAGAGAACACAACGGTCAATACTAAGGCAGTGATAGCTTGAATATAGGTTTTTATGTAGAAAAGCATGAACTCTTACCTGTAGGAGGAATCACAGCCTATCATAACCTCTCTTTATTTTCCTCCACTTTTTTTTTTTTTACAAATAAATATCTCCTCTGTAAAATGACAGCTTCCCTAAAAAACACTCATTCTTGATGATATTTGAAATTACTCTGCATACTGAGTTTAAAGGACTTAATATTCAGCTAAGGGCTCCTAATATGCCAAATAAAATGCAATGTAATGTGTATTTGTCATGTACATAAGCTCTGTTACTTCCTTTCCTAAAGGAAAGTTTGTTTTGTTGTGCCTATGTCAGTCCCAAATTAAATGTACATCTCACTGACAATGTCAGGAACACTGTGGAGACAGCAGTTCACTTTCTGCTTTGAAACAGATTTGCTTTCAAAATAGAAGTGGTCATATGAATGACAGTTCAAGTTTTACTTACATTTTATTTATGTTTTTTGGGGTAGGTATATGAAAGAAAAGAAAACTAAAACTTCAAAATTTCTCACTTCTCTTGACATCAGAAAGAAGCAGGATAAATTGTGCCAACTCAATTTTCTGAAATCATGCCAGACCTGTTCTCCAGGTAACTAGGTAGAGCTGCTCACTCTCCAAGTCTTCATGCTATTTACCTTTTTACTGAAGCTGTCTTACCTGTCAGCCCACGCAAAAAAAAGACCAAAAGTTGTTGGGCTCACATCCTTTTAGGCAACTGATGCATGCTGACGATCAAAACCCTGCTTTCAGTGGTAGCTGAGCTGTGTGAGAGCACCTGGACCTTAAAAGTTCAAATAGCCTAACAAAGCATTATTATTATTATAATGCTGTCTTCTTAGTTTATACATTTCCTTCCAAATCCATGGGAACCTTAGCCTGAGAACTACCACATATATAAGAACTGCCAATCTGTAACAAACTGCAGGTTAGGAAAGTGGTAACCTACCTCGGGGGAGACCTCCGTTATTCCAAACTGCGATAAAGTCTGGTGCAAAATGTTGATGTTCAGTGAACGCAGCACTTCTTCAGATGGGAGTGCTTCAGAAATACCTGGCTTTCTGTTCACTGGGGACACAAACAGTTCCACACAGTTCTTCTTCCCCTAGAAAAATAAAATAACACAGAATCACAAGATGGGTTTGAAACTAGATAATCTGTGCTATTTATAGATTATAACCATATTTCCAGAAATGAAACCAAGAAATAGAAAGGCTGCAACTTGCTCTGTGAAGACAGCATACCTTATTCCCCCTTTTCTTTTTTAATTCTAGATGTCCGTGAAAGAAAAAGCAAATACCATAGGCGTACACGATGCTTTGCCCCATGCACTGTTAACAGTGTTCCCTCTTCCCAAGTCTAGTACCATTAACAAGACAGATAGCAGTAACTTTGTGAGGGGGGCACATAGGATGATCCAGGAGGGATTTTAACAGCACAACCCTTTTTTAGACACTTGTGCTTAAACAGGAATGCTTAGTATAATGCTATTTAGAAAGAACTGCTTTCTAATCCTCGGTCAACACATTGCAGATACCCACTACCACAAAGTATAATCCCTTTTTAGTCCTCTGCAGAGTAACTCCTTACGATGAAATGAAAGGACCAGAAAAGTTTTGTTTATTTTCAGTGGGTAGGCCATGATAAACTAGAACAGCATTTCTCTTTCTAGCAGAGAGCTCAGACATCATGTGGCAATGCTCCAGACACTGCTGATGTCCCCACAGGGTGTGTGGACCTACGTTAATTTGGGGTAACCTGTAGGTGGCTGTGATGTTGAGTCTGTGCTCTCAACAGTGCTGCATGCAAGGTAGGTGCAGAGTTAAACCTGCGCTGCTCCCTCTGATTCCACTGGGCTGATTATTTGTGGTTTGTTTTAGGGGAAGGGAGAAATAAATTCAAGTAGAGATAATCCTGATTTCTCACCCTGCCTTCCCTCTCCCTTTCAATGTGCATCCTCCTTTTTACTTGAGTTAAGGAAAAGACATCTTTCACTATTCATAAAACATGCTGTTAGATCATTCTCACATGTCCCACTGGCCCGTTTTCTTGGTAGGATTGATAAGGATATTGCCTACCAGTGGGACTTGGCATTTTTCAATAGGGCTTCTTAGATCAGCAGAGTTATTAGAAGTGAAAACAGATCTACGCTCAGACAGTGTCAGTTGATGGGCAAAGTTTTCTTGTCATGCTGAAGGAGCTGATTTGACACTAAAGTCTCTGATGGGGAAAGTAGCAGGATCCAGGCATCAGTGGCAGACACAAGGCAAGGCTTGCTGAGGAAGCAAAATTTCCAGGGTTTTGTGCCTCCTCTGGTTAGGAGTTCCTCGGCCCATTAAAAGGCCTTTACAAGAGCCATTAAGGTTATCTCCAAAGCCAGTGAAGAGAGACTGGCATCGCTGAGGGTGACTTAATCCATCTTAAGATAATCAGGATCTATGTCCCCTCAGTGTCTCTTCTCGTCCTCCAGTTCCTTCCTTGTTATTTCCTTTAGAGGGAGCCTAGATGTGATGTTGGACCAAGCTAAAAGTGGGATGAGATGAATTTTAATGTGCCTTACTTGTGTGCCAGCTGGCACACTGGAGGAACTGTTTCACTCTGGAAGGATGCAATGTGTGAATAAGGTTTCCTGAGCTGTATTTTTTACCTTTGTTAATTTTGACTTTCTTTGTGCAACTTTTAGACCAAACGGAACAAACACATCCTGTTGCATTGCTCCTTGCTTCATTAGAAGACACAGTAATTCATAGCAGCCTGGAATGCTGTCATGGATGGCTGTGTGCTTTTCAGGAAAGTTAGGCCAGGAAGGTGAGCTGATGGAGCTGCTCTTTATGTGAGAGGGCTACTGGAGTGTATTGAGCTTTGCCTAGCAGTGGTTGAAGACTGAGTTGAGAACTTATGGGTGAGGATTAAAGCACTGATGAGCATTGGTGAGCATTGATAATTTTTTGATACAGATGGTGGAGGAGCCACCGAGGAGAGGACCTTGTACTAACAAAAAAGGATTGTTTAAAGATGAGAGGGTTGAGGGTATCTTTGGCTTCAGTGATCATGAAATGGTGGAGTTCAGGATTCTGTAATGAGGAAGCAATACATATGATCACCAACCTGCACTTCAGGAGAACAAACTTCAGGGGCCCACCCACCAATCCCAAGGGTGAGAAGGAAGCAGGGGGTCCAAAAGAGCTGGTTAATATTCAAAGAGCTGGTTAATATTCAAGGATCACTTGCTCCAAGCTCAAGATCAGTGCATCCCTATGATTAAGAAGTCAGGCAAAGAGGGCAGGGGACCTGCATGAATGAGCAAGGAGCTCTTGGCAAAACTCAAACAGAAGAAGGAGGTATACAGAACATGGAAAAAGGGACAGGCCACTTGGGAGGAATATAGGAATGTTGCCAGAGTATGAAGGAATGCAATGAGGTAGGGTAAGACCCATTTGGAATTAAATCTGGCAAGGGATGTCAAGTCAACAAGAAAGGCTTCTTCAAATACATCAGTAACAAAAGGAAAGCTAGGGAAAATGTGGGTCTGCTGATGAATGGGGTGAGTACCCTGGTGACAAAGGACACAGAGAAGGCAGCATTTCTGAATGCCTTCTTTGCTTTAGTCTTTATTTACAAGACCTGCTCTCAAGAAACCCAGATCTTGGAGACAAGAAAGTCTGGAGAAAGACGGAATTTACGTTGGTCAAGAAGGCTTGGGTTAGAAATCATTTAGGTAAATTCGACATGAACAAATCAGCGGAATGCACCTGCCCAGTGCTGAAGGATGATGCAGATGTTATTGTGTGTTTCTTCTTTGTAATTACATAATTTTCATGGAGTATAATAAAAAATTACTATTTTATTTGCTACATTAAAACATGTCCCCCTCAGCTGTGCAATATTTCTCATATAATTGTGCTTTTGTCTGAGTATGCCTTTCTGTCTTTCGTTTTGGTTCATGTAGAGGACAAAGGAAATTCAGCATCACTTGTCATAAATGAGTGACATCTCCAGTGAACACGAAAGGGACTGCATTGCAAACCTATTGATCTTTTCTTCTATACATCTTGTGTGATCCTTCCTCACCAGAAAATATTTGAAGGAGTTTTAAAATTCTTTTTGATGTATACAGTCCTAACAAGCTATCAAAGTAGGAAATCCTTTTATGCTGAACCTGTCAGTTTTCTTTACTAATATTCAACCCACATGTAGAATAAAATAAGTAACTCTCCCCAGTGCATCATGAATTGAACACTACCAACAAACACGTGATATTGCTTTTTTGTTTCTTTGTTTCAAGGCAAAATTGTCAAAAAAAAGACAACCATGTTCATGCTTTATGCTCTTAACAATGCACAAAAATACACAAAAAATACAGTGAAAATTATTTTTTAAAAATCTTCCTTGTTGGGAACAAATTTTTCACTATCTTTAGCTAACATGATACCTTATTCTGCAAGATAAACTTCTGAGCACAGGTTGTTACAACAGAATAGCAAAACATGAATATTAATGTTGTTGGAAGACATTTGATTTAGTAATGGAGAATCTGAGGGTAAATTGTGAAGGTGCCTTAGAAAGGCAGTCACATGTATTTTGTGATCAAGATGCACACTACTGATAGAAAAAGCATGAATAAATGTCTCTTAATGACTGTGCTGTAAAACTGCACAGGAATGAAAACAATTGAACTTATTCTAGCAATAGGCAAATGCTCGTGAGCAAGGAGCATGGAAAAGCAGATTTATCTGACATGTTTTCTCTACACTGTAACTAAGCACAGTTTCATTTCAAGAGAACTTTTAAATCATTGTTAATGGAGATCTATATTTTTTTTTTGCAGGAGTAGTGGGGAAATCTTTTTCTGTCTTATTATTGCACTTTGCCATAATGTTTGGAAAATTCATTTAAGATGATCCAAAACAACCAGGTCGTTTTTGTTCTAGGCAGCCCTTTGGTACTTACAATGAGCCTGTTGATGTGAACTTGCTGGGGTAACAGTCCCAACGCTGCAGCCACTCCTTGACGAAATATCCGAAGCAATGTGATATTCAGCTTGTTTACATCCATTTGCAGTGTCTGAAAAAGAAAATCAGTTCAAAGGAGCTCCTTGCTGAACACATTCAGTTCTCAAGATGACTGGCATCTGTGACTCTCAGTATTTTTTTCCCAGAATGATAATCTGTGCAGTTTACTGGCATTTGCAATAAAGAACAACTCCAAAGGAAAAAAATTAAGCAACCTAAGTGCTGATCCTTAACAGTACAACCTCTCCTTAAACACATACAAAATAAATTCCAGAAGTTTTAGATAAATTCCTCATTGAAATTATGGTGTTCAAGATAGCACAAGTATTACCTAAAGAAAAGGTCAAGCATTAAATACCAATTCACTTTTAAAGAATACTGTGCTGTATTTGCATCATGATTTCCTTTCAAATCGTTTCTTAGTGTTACTGCCTGTATGTGACAAATGGTCAAACATAGTGAAATTATATATTTTTTATTTTAATGGGTGTATTTGATATAAAAAAGAAATATCCTGAATACATTCTATGTTCTTGAAATTCCTAAAGCTTCCTTATTTCAGTCAAAGAAGGCTGTTAATTCTCACCATAAGCCACTATATCATTGAAGTATTTTCTTTTTCCCTAACAGATTCATAGTGAAATTTAAGAATTTCTTAGGCTTCAAATCCTTGCTGTGAAGTTGATGAAATTTCACCTTGGAAAGAATTTAAGTTCAAATCTGTTTCCAAAAAAATCCAGAATATCTTTGCGCATGAAGCCTGGTGGATACTTCTTCCACATAGCACCTCAGGTGCCCGCCCCCCTTTTTTGGCTTCTGTATCATCTTTGTGGAAAATGGAGGGAAAAGGCATATATGGAATGGTTCCAGTCCTCTTGGCAGGGGACTGACTTAGGAACTTACTAAGTTCTGCCTGAACTGAAAGAGGTTTTCTACTTCAGAGTTTAAACTTTCTATTTAAAGCTATAGTGAAAGTAAGTTTGCTACTCTGTAGAACCGAGCAAGGGTTCTTCCTTCCTGAGCAGAGCTACAGAAAGAGAATTAAACATCAGTGGGTCAGACATCACACTGTGAATACAGTATTGGTCTAGAAAGATACGTTTTTTTTTTCTCAAAGCAAAACAGCATTATACACTTTGACTCAGTTGTTCTGTATTTTATAAGTAGCAAATATTATGATGCAAAACCATATAATATTTGCTTTCATCTTTCATTGTCAATGTGATCTTTCTACCAATACTGAACGGATTTTTTTTCCTTTATCCTTTTTCCTTATTTTACACTAATAGGATTGTCAGGTCTTGATACATCAACTAGTGTCTGCTCTTAGCATACAGTTGAGCTTTAATTAACCTGAAATTGAAATTTAATTAATCTGAAATTAAACTGAATTCTTCAGTTTAAATCATTCCTTCTACCATTAAATTTTCAAAATGTAGAATCTTCCTGTGCTTTTCATCAACCTCTTTGAATTAGCAGACATCTTGAGTGATGACAAAACTGCTTCAGCTTCATCACCAAACCAGAGATGGCTGGAGAGTGAAGACAGAGCCCCCGGACACATCCGAACTGGAGCCCTGCTCCTTCCACACGCAGACTGGCTTGTTCTTGCTCCTTCGGTGTACCCGAGTGCTCCAGCAGGCGAATGTCCTTTTGGAGCTGTGAAGCTGCCACCACACTGAAAGCTGACAGCGTGATCTGAAGATCATGTCACGGAAACAGAGAGGCTATCGTGAGGGTCCCTAGTTATCTATGAGGCTGACATGAAGAGGGAGAAAATGCTTGTCCCGGTAAATGGGTTTCAGTTATGGGGATATGGGGGATAACAGCTGCAACTCAAAAAAATTGCACAGGCATAAAGTCAAAATATATTCACTTAAATACGCAGGGATCAGATCATATTAATAGCTTGTTAAATAGGATGTTAAGAGCTCACTGATAAATACATAACAAGGAAAAATTTAGGCATGATCGCATTTTGTTTCACCTGAGAGTCTAAGAATATCCACCTTCAGATGAAACAGAAGATCTTTGCAGGCTATAAGGAGGTAATGCCCATAGAAAAAATACTTATAGATTTAGTCTCCAGCACAGGAGACTAGAATAGTGGTTCATCATACTGAAGGGCATTAAAATATACCAAAACTCCATTATTTGCAAGACAGTTACATTCCCTTCTTGTAACTGTCTTGTGGGAATTCCCTTTGCTCCTGTAACAAGCAGTTATAAAAGGCTAAATAGTTCATAGTATATATATAACAGTTCATATATAATGTAATATGTAATATTATATATGTAATATTCATATGTAATAATTCATATATACATGTAACAGGTGCCTCTATATAGTGCTTAATGGTTCTGTGGGAAGCTAGTTCCACAGTAAGGAGCACAAGACTTTAGGTCTCACCTCAGGGCCCCTCAAACAGTGACTTTTTGTGACTACTCATCCAAAAAAAGCAAGGAGTATCTGGGGAAGAAGCAGGTAACTTTGTTTTTTTTTCTTTATAAGAAAAGAAAAAAAATATGTAGCCATCGAGTGAAGGAATTTGCTTCTCAAATGCCAATGTTAGTGCCAAGCTTTTTTCTTTGGCAATTATAGTAGAAATGAAGTAAGAATAAACTAGATCACTTTTTTTTTACATCAGGTAGCACAAAAGAGTGTGTCTGCCCTTGTCAGACAGAAAGCTAGTGAGCCATGATCTCCAACGTTTGGAACGAGATTTCTAATTTGATCTAATTTGAAGGATAACTTGACTGATGGGACTCCGTGCAAGCCGGTCTTAGAGTGAACAGCACATCACAAACCTGTTCTGTACCCTCTACTACCCTCTGGCTTGCACTGGAATTATAAAAGCACAGAGCATGGATCAGAGCACTGATGCATAGAGTGGATCAGACTGCAGTCACATCAAGTTCTGCATCCTTTGGCCAACTCTAGATGCTTATTGAAAACAACAAGACCTGAGTAAGAATATATTCCCTTCCCAAATTCCTTCCCACAATGTGCAGACTAATTTATGCCTACCCAGCCCAAGAAGGCCATGGGTCTCCCCCATGACATGAATATTATTATACAATAACTCATGCTGACACTGTCAGGATCTGGGATGAAGGCAGCATTCGGGACATTAGATTCTCAGCTCTGAATACTGCCCTCCTGAAGGTGACTAGAGTTTCATCAGAGCTTCAGGTATGGTACAAAGCAGTCTTCCTGCAACTTCCTCGCAAACATAATTTATGTCAAGGAAATTTATTCAGAAAAAGAAGGGAAAAAATAAAAAAATGAGGAAAGATTAGAAGGGAAGAGGTCTTAACTACTCCTATCAGTAGAATATTATTAAAATATTAGTATTTTAATATTATTCTGCTATTCTGATGGTATGTCTAGATATTGTGTTGACTGTAGTCCACAGATATCAGAGATTAGGATAGGAAGATGATAATGGATGAATTACAAAGGCAGCATGCACATTAGACAGACAATACAAACTGTCATTAGGGGAATTGCTCCAGAAAAACAAACCTGTCTGGCTATTTGAAATCACAGAAAGAATCATTACAGTATGTAATAACTCCACTTGCAATAAACTGTGAGAATAAACTGTGAAGTAAAACCACAGAATTAAATTTTAAAAAGCATTAGCATAAATAAATAAGTTATTTCTTACTGCGTTACTCTTGTTGTTCCTTTTGCTTTGGAAAAGAGAGGGCTGAAGCATCCTGTGTTAGAAAGTACTACTTATTTACCCTTTGCTGATCCGCAGTGTTTATCATGTATTGTAACCTACTCCTCAAGGAGTTCACAATTTAGAATCTGCTATATCCCTTGGCAATAGTGACTTGTGGAGCCGAGAGGCAACCACCCTGGAGGACTCATTTCCCTGAGCAATTACTGATACGGATATTGCAAATGCAGTGCCTGTTTCTAGGGTTATCCGATCTAAGCAAAACAGGTAGTTGGAGGGGAAGGAGTTTTTTGCCTGTAGTGGAATACTTGAGAAGACAGAGTTCCAGAACAGAAAACCCACCACAGAAGACCATCAAAGAGCATTTGTGATGGAGATCAGTCATGGGACTAAGATTTCCGTGTGAATAAATAAATAAATAAAGTTTTGAAAAGGACCATCTCATAACCCAGTTAAAGGACCATCTTATAAACCAGCTTCTGGAATATTTTTCTGTACCATTGTGACTTGCCATGTCAAGCTTGTTTCTCAGGCCGAATTCAGAGATGCTGCTTTTTCATATTATTTATCTTCGCACCAGCTACGTCCTTTGTGCAATGGTGCTCAAGCACATCTCTCTTTCCAGACAGAGGGGTTTTCCCCTCTGAACTTCATCCAGCCCCACAACCACAGGTGCTTTCTCCAGTTCAAACCTCCAACCATTCCAAGCTGAATATTCAGAAAGAAAAGGAGTTAGGATGAAGAAGCTTAAAATATAAATCTTCACAATACTTTTATGAATAAAGATTTAAAAGCAAATCAGCAAAGTTTCAAAGGAATTCTACATACTTCCAAGCCACATTTGGTGGTATTGTTTTGGGCTAAAATCAAAGAACACAGGCACTACAGCCTCAGCACTATGGCCACGGAAGAATGCATTTCTCCAAAAATCAAGTGCTGGAGTTGTATTTGTATAGTTTCATGAGAGGCCTATAATTAATCTGGTAACAGATTATAAAAAGTGTTAATATATTATAGAAATCTGAAATCGGTTTTGACTTTTATTGCCTTAAACACATTAGATTTGCTTCCCTGTAACCGTTCATTGATTTCCACGTTAGATTTGCCTCCTGTCGCTGTTCATTCATCTGTGCTTGCAACTGCACCGGTTGCCAGGTTTACCCTTTCGGCTGGATCAGGTGTCCCAGAACACAGTCGCAGAACATTTTGGCTTTTCCAATATTCTGCATGTCATGTGTCACTGCAAGCGTTAGTGTCTCATGAAGACCATGAGTTGCATGGGAACCCTTGTGCCCTCAGCTTCTGATGGAGGTCAACATTGTGCAATCTGAAGAAAGCACATTGCCAAGACAAGCCC